TTTCCTGCCCATGCAGGGGGTCGGACTCTGTGATCTATTGAAGTCCCTTCCGACCCTAACATCTATGAATCTTATGAATCTATGACCCCCTGCCAGCCAGGGGTGCACCGCCCTGGCTTAATATTTGTCGGCATTAATTTCATGTGTAGATGCACCCAATAAGACTAAGAGCTAAAGAAAAGAACAAAATAAGTATAATGCTTTATTCTGATGCAAGGATAATATACTGCTGGAAAATACTTTATTACTGATTACTGGTACTCATTCTACTACCTCATTTTAGTTTGTATCTGAGTTGGTTATTTTACTGTTACAGCAGCCAAATCAAATCCTATTTTGATGCATATTATTACGGCCTTCCTTTTTTCTTTTTTTCTTTTTTAAGATTTCAAATACATGCCTCTTTCACCTCCCAACAATCTAATTTTCTAAACAGATTCTCTTTCACCCCTTTGGCAGGGCTTTCACAACCACAGGCCACTTTTTGGCAGTGTGGCAAGTGGTTAGCTTTCTCCACCTTCCTTTAGTTTAAACATGTCTTCAGGAGGCCAAATATCTTGTTCCTCCTAATATGGCAGTTTCTCAGTCTGTATCTGCTTTCAGTCCCAATACTGGAGACAGGATTGTCAACATAACACTCTCCATTTGCTAATCAGGGATCATTTTATCAGAGACTAGGAAATAGTTTTGCACTCAGAGATCACCCTGACCCTGCTTTAGAAGTCAGGAACAAATATAAATTCTTCCTTGTTATATCTTTTCTGAGGTGTGGTACTCTGAATATACAAAAGCTACCTCTACTCTTCTTTTTGAATCAGTGTGGGCATATTTTGAATTATCCCTATCCTCTTCTAAAGTTTGAGAACATACCCACAGCTCCAAGATGGTTTCTGTTTATGACCCTAGGAATAAAAACTCCAAACTGATTGTCAGTTGAGAAGTCTGTACATTTAAACACATACTGAGTTTGTCTTGTTTTAGCATAGTAAAAATACATTTCAAATAATGTTCAAGCTTAATCTTCAATTCAAGCTTAATCTTCAATCTGAATCAACATATTATAAATTCAATGAGGAGTGGCATAGAATCATTAGCTGTACCCCAACAGCTTTTTTGATATTTTTTATCTCTGAGAAGAGACATTGATTGATAGGATCTGAAAATGCTGGTTACAGTACTCTACTGATTTTTGTTAAATACTTACACTCTAATTAGTGTATTTTAACAAAACACAACAATTAAACTGTTTGCACTCTCACCTGCTAATCCTTCATTTTTTTTTACTTGTATGTAGATTTTAGATTAAAGTCTTTAGAGCAGTCACACTTCTCCTTACCTATTTGTACAATGCCACGTGCATCTATTTATTAACCTTACCTTGGGCATGTTCAATAAGTTATATATTTGTACTGAGGTGAACATCAAAATGTATTGACATAGGAAGATGATGGTTCTTGATGGTCATAAGCCAATGTATGAATTGTTTAGGTGTAGTTTAAAGCATCACAATATCTGGCACTTTGTCTGTTCCAGCCAAGACTTGAAGGGGTGCTTCAATTGTCATGTTTCACTAAGGATTTGATTTATATTCTGGTATTCCCCAAGACATGCTAGGCACTGTCTCAACACACCAGGAGCTGGCCCAGAGCAGTTGTCAACCTTGTCAGACTCCAGGCACCCCTCAGAGAATGCCTGATATTCGTTTTTGCTTTTTTTTTTTTGCGTTTTGCCCCCCACGCCCCCGCCTGTCTCTCACCCATTGACTCCTCAATCTACATTTTCACTGACTAACTGTCTTGTATGCATACCAGCCCAGCCGCTGGCTTCTTTACTTTTCACTCCATCCAGGAAGAGCACACACCAACTGCTGAAACTTCCTTAGCCTGACGAAGAGTTTTTGAACCCGAAAACTGGCTTAATAATTATTTTCCAACTATTTGGGTTGGTCTAATAAAAGATATCAGATTCATCCAAGGAACCTTGTTTGCCTATTTGAAATCTCTGGGTTTCTCTTGTAAAACATGTTTGCACACCTAATAGTGCTGACATTGCATGGCCTCCCACAGCACCCTTGCAAGGCACGCCAGGGTGCAGTGGCACCCTGGTTGAGAGCCCCTGGCTTAGGAGACCCTGGAGGTTCCTTCTACCCCTATGATTCCAGAAGACATTATTCAAACAATCAGTACTATCCAGGGCGCCCACCCAACAGCGCTACAGTGAGTTCAGAGGCACACCAAAGAAAGCAGAGGGGATACAACCCCATTATTTTGTGCTTTGTGCCTAATGTGAAACACAATGATACTCGTGTCTTCTAAGCATTTACAAACATCTTTGCAGAGCAAAAGTGAGGCCGCTCCCCACTGAGCTTCTTGTTCATTAGGCAGGCAAGGTTCTTTGGGTAGATGTGATATCTTTTATTAGACCAACTAAAAAGTTGGGAGAAAAGTTCTTTGCAAGCTTTTGGGCACAAACACCCTTCCTCAGGATTAGGGAGACTGCTGAGCCAGGTACAGACATTACACTTTTACTGGTATAAGTGATTGGAAAGCCATCTATCCCCGTAACAGAACAGAAGTTCGGCATGCGCAGACTGGTTTAAAAATGGTGGAACCTGGTCTAAGACGCGTCCCCTCCCCACCGACCGGCGAACGTGTGTCCTGTTTGCTGCGGATCTAAACTGCGCTGCTTACAGACAACTGCAAAACTGAAATCGATTCCGCCTCCAGGGTTCCCAGCGCCTGCACGGAGCCCTGGCCTGACCTGTTCTCCAGGGAGAAAAGAAGTCCATTGACAACAACCCCTGTGACAAGGCAGACGAGCCGGAGTTCAGAAGGCGATGTGGGGAGGAGAGAGGAGGACAACCTTGTTCAACACGTGTCAGGAGGAGGCACCGAGTGAAGGAGAAAAGCACTTCTTTCTTTTTTTAACATTAAGATAACCGACTGCAAGCCCGTGTCGCGTCTCGCAAGAGCCCCGGGGCAGAGCAGTAACGCTGCCGGTCCTGCTGGGCTGTGCT